AGCACCTCGTTTGGGTGTACATGAACATTTTATAAACATGTACAGCGAAAAATTTGGGTGGCCGGTCGTGTTGTCGTTATCATGTTCCTCGCAGTATTCTTAAGCATTTTGTGCATTACGTTGCCAATCTGGTTCATGTGCATAGAAGACATTACGAAGTTTTAGGCTACAGTATAAAAAGCCTGGAAGCAAGCTATCAATAATTTTTTAACAGAGTTGCTTAATCTCATACATGATACATCACTAAACTTTCGTGGGTATTCATCAATGTAAGCTCGTCTTATTGTTATCCAAAATGAAGATGTGAGTCGGCAGATGGAAACATCTAGTAATCAGGGTGAACAGTGGAAGTGCCTCAGACAGGCTGGCCGATGTTGCGAAAGAAGGACCTAATTTTTAGAAGTCACCTTGTCATCCTTGGCGTGTTAGTTTAAATAAGGTCAGTAATGACATCTTTTGGTGTAGGCGTGTGTGCCTGCTGGAAATGTTTGTCTGAAAAAAAAAAACCCATAACGCAGAAGAGTGCAGCCCTTGCTTCTTTTCAAGTTAGGTTGCGCTGATACAAAGTGTTCTCCTGTCGGAGGTTGGGGGTAAGGGAAGCAAAAAAAGATAAATGATAGAAAAGAAGAAAAAAGAAGAAAGAAAAGGGGGATGAAGTAAAAGTAGTGCTACACTGCTCCTACTTTGCATCCCCCCTTTTCTTCTTTTTTTTCCCTTGTTTTCTTTTTTCACCCTTTTTGTTACATTAGCATTGTCCCATCTAATGCATGAATCAATGACACATGGCTTTGCTATAGCAAAGATGCCTATGTGGTGTTGGATTGAACAGTGCATTGTACTTCATTCAGTTAATTACAGACTGATCAGTCTTGCAATAAGTGCTTCCTGTCTATCACGACACATGTTCAAATGAAAAGTTTGTGCTTGGCTCTTAGTATGCTGGTATATAGCTTGTGTCTTGGACTACTCAAAATGAATGTTGTTTTGCTGCTGTTTATGGTAATAAATTTATCCAACATGAAAATATCTTGCCTTGCAAACTTTGTCGGACCTGCCTTTCTTTTTCTTTCCTATGCAGGCATTGTATGTGAGGGAGGCAGTAACAGAGAGGTGATAGCTTGAGCTTCGGAAGAATAAATGCTGGCAGTGAAGCAATTACACATCAAACATCCCAGCCATTTTGCCAGCCGTACTAAATGTGTTTTGAAAAAAAAATATTGTGCTCGGTTACTGTATTGAAAACAGCAAAATGCTAAAATATATCGCAGAGAACAAAATATTAGGCCACGTTGGTGCCTTCTGGGCTTTCCAGGATGTCGTCTGGGTGTTGTTTGTGAAAAGTAAAAAGTGTTTCAAAAATACTGCCTCTTTTACACCAAATTTGGTGTAGGTATTAAGTAAAGGTAATTGTGTGTAGTGCATGAAGCTCAGTAATATTAGTGCAATTTTTTTGCCAGATCAAAAGCAAGGAAGCAGTTCTCTTAATATGGCAAGTTATATGATTACACTTTGTCTTAAAGTAGAAATGAATTTTTGAAGTTTTCTTATGATGGCTGTTTTCTGCATTTGATATACGACAGCTTCCATTCCGAAGTTCTCCATGGCCCTCAATAGGAGACTTCAAAAATCATTTTCCTCATTTAAACAAAAATTGTAATGATAACACTTGCCATATAACAAGAACTGTTTATTTGCTTTCAACTTACACATAAAAGTAATTTTCAATTAGACAAACACACAGCTCAAGTTGCATCTCAATGTGGACAAAAACGATTATATAGTGATATTTGTAGTCTGGACCTAACATTATTTTTTTCGTGAAATATAACTTCTGTGCAGTGAGTATTTGTAGCTCAAATATTCATACAAAGTGCAGTATTGCCATACAAGAAATGCAAACGATAAACAGTTTGGCTGAATTCTTCAAAGCCTATGTAGCGGAAAAATTGCACTAATGTTACTCGGCTTCAAATACTTTAAGAAGCACCTTTACTTAATATGTAGATCAAATTTTATATGGCAAGAAAAAGCGGTACTTCGAAAATTTTCTCACAAATAATACCCGCACGACATTCTGCGAAATTCTGATGGTACCCACGTGACCACTACTTTTTCCTCTTCAAAACATTTCTGCAAATAGCTATTTTCAGAAGAGTAAATTACCATCATTTTTTTTAAACTATACATCTGTGATGGTCGCCAGGCAGTATGGTTTGTATGTTTGGTGTAGAATAGCCCAGTGCAAAAAACAACAAATGTCTGAGCATCTTTTGACGCTTGGGCAATTTCGAAAGCATTTGTTTGTTAGCAGCAATTAAGTTAAGCCCTTGTCTTTATGCTTAGGCCCACAAACAAAACACAAGTAACCAAAGTAGTCCTAAGAGTCATGCAGTCTCGCTGTTCCAAGGCTTGTGGAGCCTAATTTAGTGCAAGCTTCACCATTTTTTAAAAATTCAGATTCAACCAACAGGTTTTGTAGGCACAGTGCATTTTCAGCTAACTTGTTTCACACCAGTTACTTCGATAAAAAGTGGGAAGTAGAGGTAAAACTACCATTTTAAAGGCATTGTAGATAATAACAAAAAGGACTGCTTTCTTTTTTTGTGTGGTGCTTTGCCTGAACGCTGTGCTTTTTGTGGTATATTTCGTTGTCTAGTGAACAGAGGCCTTAAAAACTAACATTAGCCATGTTGAGGTCGATTTCTTGGTTATAGTCATAGTAGCCATATTAAAAATATATGACTTCAAACTTGATTGTTCTTTTGAAGATGTTTTCTTGCATAATGATATTTCAGAGTCTTAGTCAATTTTGTTATAAGAAAACGTGATGTCATAATAGGGTCACTTTTTGTAGGGTCGTTCAGTTCTACCTTACCTTTTATATTCCTAATAGAGCAGTTATTTTCAATATTGGTATTTAAAATGGAATGAGCCTGCTGCATGTAGTAAGGTGTAAGCACTTACAGATAGCACATGCACCCAACTTTTCTGTTGGCAGTTTATTTCTGTTATTCTTGATTTATATGTGGGGTTTCACGTCCGAAAACCACGATATGATTATGAGAGAGGCCGTAGTGGAGGGCACTGGAAACTTCGACCACTTGGGGTTCTTTAACGTACACCCAAATCGGCACACGTGCCTACAGCATTTCTGCCTCCATCGGAAATGGAGCCGGGATTTGATACCGCGACCTGTGGGTCAGCAGCCGAATTTCTGGTACTCTTGCTCCCCTATATGTGTGCAGTTCGGTTATAGTTATCTGGCTTGCACAGATATTTAATGGCACCTGCCTTGTTCTGCTTGCTTTCATGGTGATTTTAACCTTCATAAGTTACATAGGTTTAACTCTCAAAATTGTTCAAGATGCCAATTTTGTGCACAAACTGTATAGTATAAAGGCAGCAGATATACATGCACACACTATTAAATGTACATTGAGAGCTTTAACTTGCAGTTTCTAAAGTTTTACTGTGCAGGAAGCATTTAAATCATAATTTCATAAGGACATATTAATCGATTATCTCTACCATTGAAAAGCGTGACAACCTAGTTATTTTCACTGTGATAAGCATGCTGTTCTCTTTGATGTGGCAGAACTAAATTATACACTCATTCCTTCCATTCACATATGCATAACATGAAGGATTGTGTGCCTTACATTTTCAGTTTCATTCTGTGTGTTATATTTTTTGTGCATGTGAACTAATGTGCTAACATGTGTCTCTGACATTATTTGTGCCAATTATTTTCATTTCCAGGTGCCTATGAAGGACACATAGGTTCTATGGCATTGACCTTCCAAATTTACAGTGGTGCCGGAGCCTCAAGCAGCATTTCGCCGATCTCCACAAGGCGTTCATGATACAAACACAGCGCCACACTTTCACAGTGCTATGATTATTATTTATGTTTAAACATTTCGCTCTAAAATTGCTGTTATATTGTGTTTTGTGCCACCATCCTGTGGCTTAGGTGGAGCTCGTGAAATTACGGTGTAGTCACCTCATTTGTGTACCATCAACACTGCAATGTCACCATTCTCCGCTGGAGCATACAGACAAATAAAAAAATATATTGATAGTAGCAGGGCTGGTGTGTTTAATAATGCTTCTCTATTGATAATAATAACTGATAATAATAATAATAATAATAACTGATAATAATAAGTTCTTTAGGTCTTGCATAGAACACTGCATTAATGTGTTGCAATGTAACCACCATTTATGATCGCTAGCATGTTAATTTAGTAGTTTTGTAATGTATTTTATTTGAAAGGTAATTTTGCTTCCGCATCACGACAATTAGAAAGATGCCGATGATTCAATCTCTCATTAAGTAGCTTCTTAACACATTTGTTTCTTTCAAGCCTTTGTTTACTCATCAAGGCTGTTTCAGATAGCAAACATATTTCACCTTCATGCAACATATTAAGAATGAAATATTCATATATATTTCTACACAGTACTTGCTTTTGCAAACAACGTGAATGGCCAATTGCTTTTACTCGAGATCTAGGATGTCCATTTGATCTTTGCAAGATGCAGCAGATAGCTGCATAGTTGCTGCATTATGCTAATTTCCCTAAGCTGCTTATCGGGTAATTTAGCATGATATGGCAGTTTCCGTAAGCTGCGGATGTCCGCAACTTTCAGCACGATATGGCGCTTTCCGTAAGCTGCGGATGTCCGCATCTTTTCGCATGATATGGCGCTTTCCGTAAGCTGCGGCTGTTCGCATCTTTCCGCATGATGCGGCTTTCCGTAGTCCAATAATTGCGTATGTACGGATCCGTATATGCGGAACGTTTCAGTAGGGCTGTCTATTCAAGAAGACACCACACCATACTGCCAAGCATGTCTCCAACATATCCAATGCACCATGGATCCTTATGATAGGAAACATTCCATTACGACGATGATATATGGTAATAGATGATGGACAAACTTTCCATAGGGTTTCAAGAAAAAAATGCCTCGAAAGTGACACGTTATAGGCGCACCTGTTGCAGCCTCTTGGCCTGCCTTTCGAGCTGCTTCCGTAGTTTCTTCTCCCGACGGTCCCTCTCTCGTCGCTCGATCTCTTCGGGAGGAATGGGTTCGCCCGAGCAGGTCTGAGGGTGCGCATTGTGAGCTGGCCGACCGGGCCCCTTCTTGGTGTTCTCCTTCTTGCGCCACTTGGCACGACGATTCTGGAACCACACCTGCAAAGTAGAAATGACAGGAAAGGCGAGTTTAGCGACTGCAGAGACTGACGCGAATGAATTCTACCTTTTATTGTACAGAAGCAACACTGTCTGATCTTTGTAACCAAACACCAGCAGAATGGAAGCTTTCCCGTTCCTGACCTTTCCAACAACTTCTGTTTGATTCTCACTTTAAGTTCCGCTTTTTGTGCATTTACGGGGGTATTTTACGCAGCAGCGTTGAGTTGTATAATAACTTCAAGCATGTAAAACGCCAAAATGACCACTGTTGTTTTGACATGACGCTGCGGAAAAGAAGAAAAGATCGCAGAAACGAAACACAGATGGCTACGACACCATAAAATGCCCGTCATTGCTAACACTTACAATGGTTTACGCAATAAACTTTATATACCTCAGGTTACGAAGAACATAAACTCCGATTTCAAAAATAGTTTCGCAATAAATTATTTTGACATATGTAGAAATTTGTGCTAGGAATATGGCGGGGTCAAAAAAGAAACCGCGATTTGTGTTCCTCTCAAAAACAACAATGAGAATTAACAACACGAGTGAATCACTGATCTTGTGCCAGATCTTGCTGGCAATGGAAAGAGCACATAAAGACGAGAAAACAAAAAGATCATCCGGAAGTGAAATAATCCTTACGCCGCAACTTTTCTCGCGCTCCGCTGTCCCTCAAAATTCTATTATACCGATCACTAATTCGCCCAAAGCTTGAGTACGCGTCCGCTATATGGGATCCCGTGCAGCAAAATTTAATTAACGCGTTAGAATTTGTTCAGAACCGCTCAGTTCGGTTCATTTGTTCTAATTATTCCCGTACTGCTAGCATATCAGAAATGAAATCTAACCTTGACCTACCCAATTTAACTGTCCGGAGGAAACTGGCGCGACTGCATTTTTTTCATAAGATATTTTTTCACAATCCATCAATGAAGCGAGACCTCATTTCACAACCGTCATACCACTCATCGCGCATTGATCATCAGCATAAGGTTGCCATTCCGTTTTGCCGCACCAAATTCTTTTCAGCAGCCTTCTTACCGAAAACAGCCGCCGATTGGAACCACCTTCCCTCTTCCGTTGTATCAATAACAGACCCTTTGTTATTCAAGACTGCAATTTCTCAGCAATGCTTGTAACTATACGCTGTTTCCATTATCTATCTTTGTTTTGTATGTGCTTGAATTCTTATACATTTTTAGTTGACTTATGTTGCCTTCCTGATTTGCGCATCTGATACTTGTTTCTTTATTTTGTCTTTTTGCTTGTGTGTTATATATGTTGTACCCACCCCCTCTGTAATGCCCTACGGGCCCTGAGGGTATTCTAATAAATAAAAATAAATAAATCCTCCTTTCGGGGACAAGGAAAGCCAGAAGCAAGCACTCGTTCAGCAAACCCGCAGAAAGAGAAATACATCGGCTCGAAAGCAACCAGAGCAAGCAGCGGTGGTTGCAAAGGATCGGTGGTTGACGGGGAGTGCGCATCCGTGGCTCTGTTTTCGGGCGTGATCGGACGTGCGTGAACGCGACGGGCTTCCGCGCGGTGACAGGCCCCATCATTCAGGAGACAAAGCAGCCGCAGCCCCGGTAGGCGACCGCGGTGGTCACTCGGGCTGCGGAACTCCCCTTCTGCTCAGGAGGACGTCTATGTATACTGACCACAACGGGAGGTACTGCAGGGCTTGCAGCATCCGTCCACATGTTTCTCTGATTGCAAATTAGTATGCGTGAATACCGGTGTATTTTCCGTAACCCATGCACCCTCACCACCCTCATAATACCAAACGATGGCCACACATGCACTACTCACAATTCAAGCACAATATGACGGGTTTGGTATGGCTGCTTTCTGGGCAATCGGCAGCATTCAAACCCTATAATGATTCAGATGAACCTTTATAACACAAATAACAAGAGCAAAACGATGAAACAGCACATCATTCTTAGTCTGTTGTCGGCGCAGTGTACAAAAATCTTGTATATTCATTTTCAAACAGCGCAAAAGACGAAAGACACAGCACAGAAGAAGAATTATCAAGATAAAGGCTGTGTCATTCGTCTTTACCACTGTCTCAAAATTAACCCAAACTATACGGACTCAACTCTCACTTCTGCTGCAAACTCATATGCATTTGTGGAGTTTTTACAGAAACCACATCTCCACTATCATACAAACTTCTCCTATGCAATATTTAGAGATGACCCGCCGTGCGAATAGTGGTCGTTCATTATCAAGTACCTGTCTTTAACTGAAAGTAGGTATCTATAGCCGATTATGATATTATACTAACACAAGATGGAAGGCGTGTGAGCAGCATTGTCGAGTGTATATGATGAATCGTGTTACATAGCAGATAATTTTAGCATTATTACGCGGAATTTACTGGTATAGGCTCAACGTTTTTCCGCGGTATTTTGTTTTATTGTGGGCTCCGCAAAGGCATTTCCAAGGCAATAATATTCAACCGTTTATATTCTCGTTAATCATGAGCTGAAAACGTACGTAACTTCGCATTTTGTTCGTTTGTTCATTTAATTAGGCAAAGGTATCTTGTTGAGACATTACTTGAGGAGCTGGGTAGGCAATGGTTACCCAGACACTACAAAGTTAAAATAGGATCATCTCAATCAGTCACTCTATATCAGCGGAGTCATAATAGTGTACTTTGGTGGGCTGCTTTTTAGAGTGTCTGACTATGCCCAGAAAAACAAGCTGTTAAAGAAAACCATACGGTGGAAGCGGTATTACCTATGGGGAAGCAAGGTGATTGTTTGGAAGATTTAGGGCGGAGTGCTCCCGACAATTTTTCCTCCATCATAATTCCTAAGAACTTCTGCAGACCAACTAGAGAAGTGATATTTCCACAAGACGGAAAATAACTACTTTTTTACTTTTTGAATTCCGACAGTCTTTATAAAAGTACGACTTATAAGCGGGACTCTAGTGAAATACGAACCCACGCAAGCCTGCCTCATTCGATGCCTCGGTAAACATACGTAACCAGACGATGGTTCAAATGACAGCATTGATTCCGCTTTAGGAGGGTCAGTCATACTCTCCATGCAATCATCATGTCTGACAGAGGTGCAAGCAAAAATTAGGGGCACGTTTCAGGGTTTTGTGCTGTCTTTAAATAGATTCGCCACTGTGCAAGCGAGATAGGAAGACGTAGCGGAAGAAGAACCTCGTTCGCGACAACAGCCAGGCAGTGGCTGGTCATCCATCGTCGTACAGAGTGCGTGGCTTGCAGCATGCGTGCAATATTGAACGTATAGCGGCAGGCACGCTGTGCACTTCGTTGGAAGAACGAGTGAGTGCTCCTGCTGGAAAGGAGAGACAAATCGCGTTCAGGCAAACAGATCACGCCCACTTATTCTGCACGCTTTGGTGCGGGTGAAAAAATAAAAAAAGGCAACACCATTTACAGTGATTAGATTTCACGCGTTACCATTTTGCTCTTGATCCCCAACCGTATTCGATATGAGTGATGGTTACGAGCGACTGTTCCGGTTCTCAGTGGTTTCGTGCATTATGACGAATTATTGAGGAAAAAATCTATACGTTTTCAGCATCTTAAGTGAATGAAAGACCACCATATGTAATTACGAGGCTGAATTGGCGCATACTTCCGGAGTGAGCTCGAAAAGTGATGTAGGAGTCTTAAAATTATCGCTTGTTTAGGTTGTAGTAATGTAATTATGTACACCTGCGCCTCTCAAATGTACTGAAAAAAGTACTGGAATGAAAATAATATCTTTTGACGAGAGGTCTACGCTTGTTGAGCTAGGCACACTTCCAGCCTCAGCCTGCCTTAGACACTCTTTCGGAACATGTTACCAACCTAATGTGAAGCTTTCGTATGCTAAATCTTTCGTTGTTGTTTCTTTTTTGTAATCCCCCATTAACTTATCTAAAGCGATTAAATTACATCTTAGTATTCTACATTTCAAAATGGCCACGAGACCTACTGTAATGGGCAAAGCTAGAATAACTGTATAGTTACCTAGTGTTATTAAGAGTACATGAAACAAAAACTAAGCAAAAGAACTTTCCTGCATGTTGTCAAACTTGAATGCGGTGTCCTCTGCCCGGAATCAGACCCTCATTACTGATCATCGCAAATATTTTGTAGTCATTTTTAGTCCGCTGGCTAACCCTATCGGTAATACTCAGGCTTGCCTCAAGAGATTTCTATCAAGCGAATAAACTCATGCAAAGCTGAAATGGAGGCCTATCAACACCAGGCGAGTCCTCGGCTGACCTTCATTCTCTATCGCATGTCTCTGAAGTGCAAGTTGAGCCTCCAACCATATACATGCGTTGGATAGTGCGAGAACACCTTAAAGAGACTCTAAAAAGCAACACAATTCTTTTTTATTTTAGTAAACTATTCTTTTACTTTACCAAAACCGACAACGACTGCTGAAAGGGTACGATTAGTGAACGAAAAAGTGCGAAACGAAAAGAAAGTTTGACTGGCTGCGCTACTTCACACCATTCGCCATGACGACACTTTTTTGACTAGAACTTCTTGGATCAGCGGAGTTTTCAATGGGTAAAAATAAAGTAGGTTGTCCTGGGAGTTAGCCAGGGACTTAGCATACCAAGTTTGAGGAAATTTCTTAGTGCCCAAATGGTGCCAAAAGGCGACAAGCACACTTCAAAATTCGTCATGTCACATGAAGGGATTGTGTCGCGTAATTTAATAACAGAACTTATTCTGTTTCTGCTTTTTATTAACTAGTCTATAGGATAGAATTACCAGAATTACAGTTCTCAAAACACAATTTATGAATCTAAAACAAATAGTCAATTTTCTCCGCATCGCATCACACCCTGTCTTTCATGGGTTCCTTCGAGACGACGCGCGAGTTGATGCGCGTTTTTATAATGACGATGCAGTCTTGCTACATTGCGATGTTTGAGGTGGTCCATGGCAGTGTCAGAAAATGAGCACAACGTAAGATACGATGTTCGGCGCCCGACCT